CGAAAGTGAAGTTGAACAATAAAACGGCCGACATCGGGTTCGTCCATTTTCGTCATCTGAAAAATATTGATTCCTTTACTCCCATTGCTAATATTTTGAACCTCCTTTTGAGCTTTATTTTTCCTTCTACGATATTTTTGTACATGCCATTCCTCCCTCAATACTTTAGAAATATCATCTAACGGGATATCAGAGATATTATCATTGAGATTAGAAATGAGAGAACTATTTTCCATATTGAAGGTATCAGGAAGGGATGCCGAAGAAGGGCGAGCCCCATCAGCAATAACTGGGATCAAAAGATCTTGCCCAGAGATAACACCTGTTGCCATACCAATAACAAAAACAACATCTCGGGAGATAACAACCATCGAATTAAGAGGAGGAGAGGAAGAAGTAGGAATATGAGGAGGCTCGAGATCATTTAAAACCTGCATAGTAATCTCACTTGGGGCAATGCCCTTAGGGAAATTTGTTCCCTAGTTAGTGTCAGCATTTGAAGGAAGAGTAGGTGCCCCCCCCCTCCTCAAAGGAACAGAGGGAACCTGTTCGATCCCGCCCTCTGCCTCATTCGTAGGTAAAGAAGGAGAGGGAGCCACGACAAGAACAGACCGAGACAAAACGAACAGCCGCACCATTAGGCATCTGCGGTTGTTTCCTCCCATCTTCTTTCCTCAAATCAGGATTTAACTTGAAACAATGTTCTTGATCATGTCCAAACATTAGACAATGTTTGCAATATGAAGGATGTTGCTCTAAACATACATTTTGCCAGTAACCAATATGCTCTGAACCAATCCAGACCTCATCAGGAGGAGGTAACGTGACATCCCTTTCGATTAAGACTCTAGCCTTAGAGGGTCTTGTAAGATTATAAGTAGGAGCATTTAATTTCAACGGTCTCCCAGACATAGCCGCTAAAGAGAAAAGAACTTCATGGTTAAAAAGATGGACTTTCAAATAAGGAATCCTAATGCAGACAGGAATAACCGGAGCCTCAACTTGAGGATCAAAATTAGAAGACCATTTTAACAGCTTCATTCCAACGTTCTCAAACCAGACCATACGCCTAGCAAACAAACTAGTATAGTCTTCCTCGTTTGCTAACTGAATCAAAATGTGTCTTTCATCCAGAGGGCCAATCTTCCAATCACCCGTGAGCTTCATCAGCTCAAAGTGCTTTCTAAGAAATTCCAACTTAGGGACACCATAAATAAACTTTCCAACCAGATGTAAACGACAAGAAGAAGCGAGTTCGACTTTCTCAGCATCAGAGAGGAAGAGAGCAAATTTTCCCCCTTTTCGGCCGGGACGATGAACAAAAGAAGAAACAGAATCGAGCTCGAGATTTTCGTAGAAGACAGAGGGGAAGTTAGGAACACCATCAGCGGTGACGCTAGCGTAAGAGCGAGGCCTCTTACTAGTCTCACCACGGCCCGGCCGTGACGGCAGCGAACGAATGCGACATGACGAGTGATCAGCCGAATCGCCATAAAATCGCAAACCCCTGGCAGCGGAGACGAACACAACATGACGTTTATATATATATATATATATTCTTGGACGAC